GGAGGCTCCCCGGCAGAGTGCTTATCCACCAGGCCCGACCCCCAGAGCTCCCCGGTCGCCTGGCCGCCCGCGGGGAGTTTCCTGGGTGGCCCGACCATTGTCTCTGGTTTCCCTCCCCCCCACCCCTTGTTTCGCTCTAGTGTGAGCCGCCTGGAAGTCGGCCCTTAAGGGGGGGGTACTGTCACGGTGTGGTTTACTTCATGTTATATTTTGTAGTTTTCTGCCACTTGTGTCCCCGGGTAACTTCACTTCCTGCCTTGTCCCGTCATCCCCTGTGATCGTCTTAATAGTTTCCACCTGTGTCCAATCACCTGCACCTCCCTTGTGTATTTAAGCCGTGTGTCTCCTGTGTCACTTGTCGCGTCATTGTCTTTTGCCACGCATGTCCTGTTCTTGTCTTTCGCCCCCGTAGGTTCATGCTTGTGTGTTTTTGCCCCTTGGCCTTTTGGATTTTGGACCTTTTGATTATTAAAGTCTTTTGTTTTGGAAAAGTCTGCGTTTGAGTCCTGCCTTCCACCCTCAACCCTGACATTCTGCAACTCAGACCATCTGACATGAGAAGCTGTGTATAAGCAGTATGTGATTAGAAGAGTAATCGCAACAGTTCTTATAGTTACACTGTACGTCTTTCAGGAAATAATACTGATATTAAACTATTTGTCATCTTTGATGTTCCGCTTACTACTCATTTCCATTCCTGGAGAATTAAATGGGCTTGGCTAAGTTGTCATTGCATAAACCTAAAACACGAGGACCACAAAGCCATCCACATTTCATCTGAAGACCTGGTTGAAAGCTCCACAAACAGAGAGAACCACAACTATATCGAAGTGGTCACTGTGTTAAGACTAATTTATAAAACTATTTCCTAACCCATTGAATGGAGTTGCACACTAATACATGAGGGTCAGCAGCTCACCTGTGTAGTAGGCAATCCTGGAAATATCTGAAAGACAGACACAGAAATAACAGAGTAAGCTGCTGTTTCAGTACGAGCCAATGAATAGAGAAGTCACGAGGTCAGAGCAGAAATGCAGCCGAAGCTTATTCAGTTTCACAGCAAGTGTTCTCAGATCAGTTACTGAATGGGAATTAAATTGATTGATTATAATTGAAAATCGATATTCCATTGTTACACAACTCACTCCCGGCAGAGATATGATTAGGCTTTATTGATGTCACTGGCTAACTGGTAGATGCTCATGGTTTCATGTTCGGTAGCTTGTAGATGAGAGTCAGACTACTTTCTTAGTGGACGAACACAGAATGAACTCTTACATTTTGTGTACCGCAGATGCACATGGCTGTAGATTAAAGTTTGGACATGGGCTTTGTGAGATTTGGGAGGTTGATGTTTTGGTTGGTTTGCACAGCGGTATCAGATTTTCCTACAGTATGAGTTTTGCACGTACAGTCGAACCAGTGTATGGCTGCAACAACTGATATTGCTCTTTGGCAGGCAGCAGAATTCCCTTTTCATCATTTTTGTATATATTTTAACACATTACATTACATTACATGTCATTTAGCGGACGCTTTTATCCAAAGCGACGTACAATAAGTGCATTCAACCGTAGGGTACAAATTCAGGAGAACAAGAAACAAGAAAGTGCAATTTCCTCAAATAAGCCAATTTACTATTTGCTATAGATGAGTGACGTTACAAGTACAATTTAAGTGCTACAATTTGTTAGTCTTTAGTCGAGGTAGAGTCTGAAGAGGTGTGTCTTTAGTTTGCGGTGGAAGATGTGAAGGCTCTCTGCGGTCCTGGTGTCTTCAGAGAGCTCGTTCCACCATTTCGGCGCAAGGACAGCGAAGAGTCGAGATCTAGTCGAGTGTTTTGCTCTCAGTGAGGGAGGGACGAGTAGTTTTGCAGATGCAGAGCGGAGAGTGCGGGTTGGAATGGGGGGCTGACCATGTCCTGGATGTAAGCTGGACCCGATCCACTCACAGCATGGTACGTGAGCACCAATGTTTTGAACTGGATGCGGGCAGCCACCGGTAGCCAGTGAAGGGAGCGGAGGAGTGGAGTAGTGTGGGAGAATTTCGGAAGGTTGAAGACCAGTCGAGCTGCTGCATTCTGAATGAGCTGCAGAGGTTGAATGGCGGTGGCAGGGAGACCTGCCAGGAGGGAGTTGCAGTAGTCCAGGCGGGAGATGACAAGAGCCTGAATCAGTACCTGCGCTGCCTTCTGAGTGAGAAGGGGACGTATTCTCCTGATGTTGTAGAGCGTGTATCTACAGGATCGCGTTGTCGCGGTGATGTTGGGAGTCAGGGAGAGTTGGCTGTCGAGTGTGACGCCGAGGTTCTTAGCGGTCAAAGTGGGCGTTAGTACGGAGTTCCCAAAGTTGACTGTCAGGTCAACACCTAACACAACATACAACTTGTTGCCCAAGAGAGGAGCTGTGTAATGTTTGAAGGGTTTTTGGTTTTGAAAAATCCGACCAAGTTAGATCGAAAAATGATTTATTGCAAAGTCTGTCAAGCCGCTCGCATTGCTTCTGGGGGCAACACGAGCAGCTACAACAGCTAACACGCTAGCAAGCTAACTCGAGCAGTTGGTAAACAGCTGTTCAGGCGGCCGGCGGTCCTTTTTGTCAATGAATGAATACATTTACTCTAAGAAAAAATACCGGGAGACCATCAGATTCTTACAAAATACCGTGATATGAATTTTTGGCCATACCGTCCAGCCCTAGTGGAGCCTCAACAAACATCAAACAACCTCTACATCGATACCACAGCTCCCCAATTCCCACAGGAAGCATCTTGAGAACTTGACACCCAGACATATCACACCCAGTTAGAGCTTTGATATGGCAGTGTACAGGAAGAAGTCAGGAGGATAAGTGCCTCAGCGCCTAAACAAACCTGATCTCTTCCAACCCCCCCACAGTTGTCAATAAAAATGATGTAATGGCAGGAAAGCCCACTTCCCAAAAGGAAGTGCCAGAAAGGTGACTGAGTATGTGTGTATTATTGATGAAGCCTTTGTAATATGACATCAGGACACTACACTACTACACTCACTGTCTGTGTGTGAGAGGTAGTGGGATTCACATACAGCAAGTAGCAATGCTCAAAATATCCTCAAATGGCACCATGACCAGATTGATAATGTTTAAATCATTATCTCCTAAGAAAAAAAGAAATCACAAAATAGTCTTCCTTTTAGAAGACGTATTTGTGTGTTTTACGCACATTTTCATCTCATGTTGCCTAGCATCAATCCTTAAATGGTAGAGTCAACCACAGCCGCTGTACATTTAACGCCAGAACCCTAATTGTGTAAAAAGCTTCATCTTCACCCACGGTGGATAGAGGTGAACTATTTATCTTCCCTAGTCTCCGATGTGCTTCGTAGCCGAAAGAGACTGTGACAAACCAGATCAGCCCACATGAAGAGGTGGGAGAGAATCATGGTTGTCTTTGCACAAATAATGAGTTAAAACACACAGCGTTTTGTCATTGATTACACGACGTCAACCTTTCTCTATAACTTCAGCTGGTCCTGGGATTTCTCGTTTTATGAGATATCCCGCAGGAGTGCTAGCATGGAGCTAATTACATACATCCACTGCACACATATCAAAGAGGTACTCTTTCTCACACAAACACACGCCCACACACACACACACAGGGAAACACACTTGGCCTGTCGACTGGCAGGCGGCCGAAAACACCTGCTCTACAAGCTGTCCTCAAGACCGAGACCCTCCTGAGATCTGTGAAGGAATACTGCACAACATGTTGTGTTGCTGGCGGTGTATCAGGAATATTGCCCTCTTGAATCCAACTGTAACACTGTGGGTTTGTGACATACACAAGCAATTGTGGAGGAGTTGAAGAAACATACAAAGAGATCAGGTGGCGTAAAAATATGCAGCCTTATGACAGAAAACTAACAGTCTGCCCACAGATTTATATCGTTGTTAACTGAAAAGTAAAATAACTGCAAAACAAAAGTGAGTTTCTTTAAATTCACGTTTGTATTTGTTTGATTCTTTCCACAAATGGAAACCACACTTCTAAATGCCATCTTGCATGTCTACACAGACGCAGGGGAAGTCTCAACGTCTGCCTGCTGTGTATAATTGCACTTTAATCACAGGCTTTTTTGGTAACTGTAATTAGACGTAATAATCAAGAGAGATTCTGCCATGCAATGACATCTAAAGTACTGATCCCACATCAGTAACAGATTCAGTTTGAGGGAGTTCAAAGAGTCAGACATGATGGTGATAGAAACCATCTCACAAATTATGGATAATGCCCTCTGAATTGCCCTCTTTTTTGTGAAATTAATTATGCAGCATGTTTGTGAGTTTCCATTATATTTGCATGTTTGTGACTAAAACTCCCTTACATCCAAACGTCGTACCTTCACTTCCTGCTTCTCTGGATATTCACGCTGAAGAGAAACGCCGAAGCAGCAGACGACTGCTAAAAAAAAACAGCCGCTGGGTTTGGTGGATGGAAAATGAAAAATGACTGGGGGAGGAACACAGCCAGATGTCGCCCCCCCTTACCCCTCCAAAAAAGAACTAAAGAAACACGTCTTCTGCAAGAGTCAACTGAATTCACCTGATGAGAGCAGTCAGCTGTTCCGCCTCGTTGCTCTGTGTCTAATGGTTAAAGCTGAGCTGACACACGTGTGTGTGTGTGTGTGTGTGTGTGTGTGTGTGTGTGTGTGTGTGTGTGTGTGTGTGTGTGTGTGTGTGTGCGTGTGCACCCGTGGACAATGGGGGGTTACTAGAGCGTGCGGTCTTAACAACGCAGCAACGTAACCCCTGAGGCACCAATCACACCTGCCCGTCACGCTTACATACAAATTCATAGAATCAAACACACAATTGGGATTTTCTTTCTTTGACCAAATATTTGGCAGTTAGGTTTTGAGGGCAGTTCAATGTTCTCAACTGTTTTATATTTTATGTGGGTGACAAATCAATTTAGCCCTTGGGCATTAATCATATTCAGTTAACAATTATTATTATTAACACATAAAACGTTTTACAAAATATTACACACACACACACACACATGATGCAAACTCCAGATAAACCCTACATGCTTCCAACATAATAAGGTCCCGTGAACGCATGACTGCTCGTACACTTTTATCTGCAAAAAGCACACACCCACACACACCCACACCCACACACAAAGTGTGTGTAGTTCAGGTGCTGCGATAAAGCTGATGGACCAACTGGAGCGGCGCGCATGTGAATGTATCACACACACACAGACCAGATACGCCTTGTATAATTCATCACAACAGATTTAGGACAAGTGAGCTGGTGAGATAGTATAAATTCATTTAATTATGCCAATATCTGTTTTTGAATAAATCAAAACACATCTGACATTAACGAGTGAATAAATGAATTACAGTCTCTTTTGGGGGATTCTGCATATATTTACATTGAAAACATGTTTTTGAAGTTAAAAGAAATCCAATGGAACATTACATTTTAATTCTTCTTTCATTTTGTATGGGAGCAAACATTAGGGAACTGGTTTACAAGCCTAAAAAATAAATGCCCACTCCTGATTGGCCGATGGAAGAAAAGCATTACTGATTCAGCTTTAAGCACATATGTATAACGAACTATGATCAAATAGGTAATTACACATTTAGTTATAATTCTTAATGTGGTCAACTTCTTTTATCAGATGTATGTCTGTCTTAAGTCGGGGGAGTGTAAACATCCATATTCTAAGTATTAGTATTGCATATTGACAACCTGCATCTTTTTCAGATGACAAAAAGGTGATACAAAATGATCGCAGTGTTTGATATTGACTGAACATGAATAAAAATGTAGCAAAAGTAATATTGTATCTTGTCTGTCCGACTATGATGCTTATGAATAATTATAAATGAAATTACCTATATGGAAGAAGAAGAAGATTCTGACTGCATCTCTGAATTGCTTTCTTTCTGTGTGTGTGTGTGAGAGAGAGTGTGTAGCTATGCGTCATGTTTAGTACATTCTCATAAATTATAAACCAAGATGGAAAAATTAAGACATAATGAAATATAAATTCTTTAACCTAGAAACAAAACCCCACAGGGGGATTGTTACTTCGTGCCAACATTTACACACGCAAATCCACAAAGATCGCACTGAAATACACACCAACAGCAAACCAAAACACAAGCCCTGTGTGTGTGCACGCACCCACGCACACACACTTCAAGTTGAAGCCTCCTACGTACAGAACACCTAACACCTGCATCTCCTTTTTTTAACATGTAAACAGGATCTGTCATCATAAGGGAGGCAGAAGGAAAACAAAGCAGCAGCAATTACTCAGTTGGTCCATAAAATGTCAGAGAAAAATAGAAAAATATCTGAAATAACTGAAACAATCAGTTATGGAAATTGAAATTTGAAAATGAAAATCTTCAATTTACTCATTAACCAATCATTTGGAAAATCCCCTCCACCACATTATTGTCAACATCATGAATCAAACTATTACAGAAATACATTTATGAACATTTATGAAATACATTTATGGACTTTTTCTTTAAAACTTTCCCAAAACTCCCCGTCTAAAGGCTAAATAATAAAAACACTTTCAGGTGGTTTATGCTCAATGGTAAATTTACACATGCATAAACACACAAGTACAACGCACGCATATGCATCACACATTTCAATACTCACCATAGTATAGTCCTTCCATTTAAAGTCCCAGAGAGAAGAGCAGAGACTAATCCCCGCTGACACACAGCTGAATTAGGAAAAGCCCAAATCCCGGGCTCCTGGTGACATAGCCAGCTAACTCGGTACTGACGGCTAATGTTGGCTTACTCTTAAAACACAGCCTCCTCCTCCTCCTCCTCCTCACTACTACTGCTGCTAGGACACAGAGGCATGACTAGGAGAAGAGAAAGAGGGGGTGGAGAGAGAGAGAGAGGAGAGGGCTAGTAGGCAGCTTATGACTGTGAAAGGGGGAGGGAGATGCAAGAGAGGAAAGGGGGGGGTCTTTGTCTCCCAAGAGAGGGGTGGATGGGAGAGAGGGAGCCTGATGTACAGGACAGGGAGAGCAAGAGAGGAGGGGAGACAAGAGACAAAAATGACAACAACTTAAGGAAAAAAAGTGAGAAAACAGGGATGTAAGGAGTCATTAAACCAAAAAAGATAACACAACAATAGAGGAGAAAGTCAGGAGGTTATTATGAAAGGGGGACAACATTAAAAGGGAGAGAGAGCTGTGTTCCCTTCGGCTATTCTGCCTTTTTCTCACAAATGCACCCCTCAGGAGCCGCTCAATTAGTCATGTTATTCTCAACTCAAAGTGGTCCTGCAGAAATCATCAATATTCAGAATAATAAAAATAACGCAGGGAATAACAATCAATTGTTCCACTTTGTTCAGTAGGGGCTGCACATTTAATCTGATTATTGTGAAATCAGATCACATAAAAGGGATATGTAGGAAAGTAAAGAGACCGGACTGCTAATAGCTTGAGGCAGAATAGTTCACCAGCCTATACAACTTAAATCATCACATTTAAATACTTAACAAGTTCAACAAAGCGTAGACTATAGTTGAAAAACTGAAAATAAGTTACAGGACTGTGATGTTTGGTCCATTGAGAACCGTGTGAACTTTTGATGTAGTTTCTTTGACTCTAGCCTCATCTCAGAACTTCTCCTTCCATTTGAAGGTGAGATTAATAATAACAATCATAGTGTCCTGTGAAAGTCTGGAAACAATTCCATCATCCACGGTCAGCCATCCAAGTTGTCCCTTAAACCCATGAAACTGATTGGAAAGAATAAAGATGGGAGACAATGTTGGTTGGCGATATAAAACAAGGTCCAGATCCTGTGTGTGAAGATTTCATTTGACAGAGCTGCTAAGGAGTAAAGCAGATTAATGGACCAGTAGGCCAAGATGTCGCACTCTCACACACACACAAACACACAACGATCCAATTCTCAATCAGAGGCCGGATCTAACCCCCTAACAGCCATCCTCCATGAGCTGGTGTGCTAGCATCGCCCTCTAGTGGTGGCGCATTTGAGGGGTGTCGTCCGCTCCGGAGACACTGGGTGTGTGACATGAGTGGGTTTCTCTCCACAGCCTGAACATCACACAGAACTTCAAACAGATGTTTGGTACTTGGTACACTCCATAATGCGGGACCGTGTTCACTGACTCAACTATTCTATCAAAAAAAATTAGAAAATTACTATCAAAGTTAAAATGTTTTCCACTGAACAGACAGACGTGAAGGAGGTCAATTCTTCAATAAACCTTTGTTGCAACAGAGTCTGTCTGGTGACTAATTACACACTCACACAGACACACACAGAGGCATTACACCCACACGTGACCTCAGCAAAACTGGTTAATGGTAGCACACCAGACAGGGAATATGTGTGTGATGTCATACCTATAGCTGGTATCCAGGTGTTACTGCTTATCTGTGCGTGTGTGTTTCCCTGTTCTATTATGACTGTAGTTTGTGTGTGTGTGTGTGTGTGTGTGTGTGAATCTAGAGAAGAGGTAATTTAATTGGTCAAGCAGGTACTAATCTCTCTTCTGAGGTGGCATGAACAGAGACTAGACCTGGAGGTATCAGAACTGGAAATACACATTTTGTATAAGTATAGGTACAATACGGAGGTTTGTCTAAAAATGTTGTAATATAATAGTACATCTTGGGACAGTTTCCTTTCTCTCTATTTTGTTTTTTCCCCTCGCTCCCCCCCTCCATCTTTCTTCTCCTCCCACCTCTTTTCTCTCGCTCTCCCACCCTCCCTCTCTCTGTGTGTGTATGACGAGGCCCAACAATTACTTCTTTCTCTCTCTTCCTCTGACTCACTGTAACTACACTGAATGTCTGCTCTCTCTCTCACACACACACACACACACACAGAGAGGGTGAGGGGCACCTTATTTACGTTATCTGTGGTTGTAATTGTTCTTCTCCAGTCTACACTTCAGTCACTGCTTCAGTCACAAAGAAGAGAGCGTTCATTAGTTATTGAGTCATTGTGGTTCAGTCAGAAGTCGGTCTGCGTGCAGGTACACATGCACGCACACAAACACTCCAGAGGGGAATCACTGTGCTCCAATTCCATTCATCACTCGTAGACATGCAGCGCCACTGACATGTATGACCAAAGGTATCTTGCGCTAAGCGTAAACGAGTGTGTGTCCTTGTGTGTGCATGCCCCAAATTAGGACAAGTCATTAACTACGATGTCATTTCCTGCCATTGTAGCACATTTCAGGCCACACAGTAAGAATGTGTTGCTGCTCAGTGGTCCACCTACACACAAAAAGACCCTGAAACATCTGCATTTGGACTTCATTTAAAAACCAGTTCATTGTCTTCTATTGAACTCCTTCTGCAGGAGAGATGATACACACACACACCTGCTCAGACAGACGACACACTCGCACACAATCATTCACAGACTGTTATAGGGATTCAACTACCACACAGGGATAACACTTTTCCAGATTATAATGATAAATCGGGGTGGATCCGGTTTGTTGTGACCTAAATTCCATTAGTATCGCTGGCAAGTAAGTTATGGAATTCTTCATTAAATGAGTTTGACAGCTGCCATATAGACTATCTCGTTATTACATAATAGTACTATATTAAGTTACTTACAATGTCCTAAAGTTTTTCTTGACACAATGGAGAGAACAAACAATGTATCAGAAATAATTTGGGCCTGACGCAATAAAGCCAATCCGCACTAAAATCAGCCGCTATCAGCCGCAATTAAAAATGATCGGGGTAAATGAATGTACTGAAGACGGCGCATAGACATTGACACACACAGCTGTCCCCACCCGGATATAATTGTCTCACGGTAAAGTTCTACCTTAATTAAGAAACAAAAAACGCCACAGGAATGCGCACACAAATCCCCAAACCAAGTCTTGAGCACCGAGACTCTTCAAACGTTATCTCGGGTTAACACAGTCGTTATCACGGCACAGCGAGATGAACAAACATGAACACGGTCACAGGAATAGGTACACAAACATACCGACGCACAAACACACACACCCAACGGGGACCGAACACTGCTGCTTCTGAGAGGAAGAAGGCGTTTTCCCGTTCGCTCCCGAGGGACACAGCATGCTTTGGGATGTACAGTAAGTGCTGTGTGTGTGTGTGTGTGTGTGTGTGTGTGTGTGTGAGAGAGAGAGAGAGGGGGTGTTGGGGGCTGCTTCCTGAATGCAACCAATCCAGAAGCTGAGCTCTCTCCAAACACACAAATACACCCACTGCAACAAACGTTAACCGACATACCGACACACAATAACACACACCAGCAGACTCCTTTTCCTTTACAGCTGAAACCACATCCACATGCGGGAGGATGCAGGGGAATAACTGCCACAGAAGACACAGTGGTAGCTAAATATAAAACACATATACAATCACGGCGAGCACTTGGATAACACAAACATACACACAAGTACACCATTCGCTCACTTTAACTGTTCATTCATGATTTTCTTTCTTTCCAAAGAGGACTTTGTAAGTATTATTCATGAATACGGGCAGGATGTGAGAAAACAGGTCCTGACTTCCACAGAGCTGCAGGTTTATACTCAGCAGGTATGAAGAAGCCGATTGTCGGGTCAAGAAATTCGCCCGGGTTTGCTCAGCAAACAACTTCTTTAAGAACCAAGTATTCAAACTGGATGCTCATGAAGAGAGCTGTTCATGTCGCATCAGGACCCATGATTCAATTAGGTACCATGAATTCCCTCATAATACACATATTCGGGACACATGTCATCGTATTCAGGGCTGACATTCCTCCACACACACACACACACACACACACACACACACACACACACGTGTCTGCAGTGATTGCTAATATCCCGTCTTTGAGTCATTATGAACAACACCACATACTCGATCTACAGAGCAGACTGTTGGCTTTGTCCGTGTTACCCTCTTGTCTGACAGTCTTTAGTTTTTCTCTGTCTGCCTATCCATCTTCAACAGACAAACTGGAGGAAAAGTCTGTAAGTGAAGAGTGCAAAGAATAGAAACGTAAGTTTGTACCAAAGCAGAGAGGAGCTTTGCAGGAGAGAAAAATGGAAAAAAAAAAAAAAAAAAGAGTAGTCATCTGCCGTGTAAATAACTGCTGAGTGTAGTCAAGTGTTTCTATAAATCCAGGCCACACACGGAAACACCAGCGCGCACACACACACACACACACACACACACACATACACACACACACACACACGCGCGCATGCTTTTACTAGCTTGCTTCAGACCAGCCAAAGGAAGAGTTGTGTCAAAAAGGTGCAGGTTTTTACTCTCGGTGAAGCACATCCAGTTCTTCATACCAGCTTCCTGATATCAGAATGAGAAAACTCCAGAAACTAAAAGTAGAGGGTCCACAGGAAGGATTTCCCCCAGAGATGATGAGTGTCACAAATTGAAGCAAAAACAACAGGATTCCGTGCTTGTTTCCCGCTGTAATGACATGTTTCTTCTCCAGATAACACCACCTTCCTTTTTCCAGTCCCGGGAGGCCGAATTAGTAGACTGTGGTCGTAGATCACCACATCGTTAAAACGAACATGGATCGAGATTGAGAAATCAGACAAATGCCACATATGCTTCAACACAGGTCATGGCTGTTTGCGGTCCCCGAATTGGCAAAAAAAAAAAAACGACCCATAAGTTGTAACGGTCCATTCAGTTCTACCAGCAGAGACCAGTGAAAGAAGCAGCCTGTGCGTGTTGTATGGAGCTCTGTCACGGCAAGTGAGCTGAGCGAACGCTCTGGAACGAAGCGCTCATCGAGTGGACGAGCTCATCAACAGCGTGGGCCTTGTTCGCTGATTAAAAAAACACCACCTCGGACCTGCAGAGGGCTCCGTGGATATCATTTACAACCGCTACACGGCCAGACGATTTAGCTTTACATCTGGCGGCGTTGAAACTCCGTTTTGTGGAGAAGGAAGTGGAGTCAGCAGGACGTCGTCGTCCTGGGACAGAGTTTGAGCTCTTTATCGTCCCGGCATTTGGTTGGTTTCAGTAAACAACAGCCCTGATCAGTCAGTGAGTGACTGGAACGTGTGACAGTGAACACAAGAGCGTTTGTATTGTACCTGTAATGTGCCAAACCATAACAACTGGGATTACCACATCCATAACACAGACCACGACCTTGAAGAAACATTGCCTTCCTTACAATTAGTAAACAAAATACTGCTTTAGATTTAGCATCTCGACGGAATTGCAAATGAACGCCTATTAGTATACTGTAGGACCGAAGCCTCGCTGGCCTCAGGATACTGCAATTCATTAGCATTTTCTTGCATCTTGAATATAAAATAGTAGAAGCAAATCAGGCACCAGCAATCTTTCACAGTCAGGAAACAGTCAGGAAAACGTGGAACACAGAGCGGCATGTTTCACATGGACATTGAACATTTGAGTATCTTAAATCCCTGTAACCATGTTGTTATGTAGGCAATAATGTATATTTTCCGGGGGGGTTTAAGTTTCTCGAGAATAAGAGTGAAGTACACCCACAATTTGGGATCGTATGTGGGCCCAAATGTGTTTTTTACTCCTTAAAATGTGGGAAAATGCCATCATACGGTTTTGGTAAACCGGGCTGATGTCTTCAAATAGCAGCCAAGAAATAAATGATACTTCTTATTAATTTGCAAGGATTTTGAGTAATAATAACTTGAATAGACTTGATGAATAGCTCAGACTTCACATGAAAAGTGATATGAACCGGATACCTGAACCAAATAATAACAGCAAAAATGAGAATGGGCCAAATAAATTAAGTATGGAAGCAGTCAGAAGCCAGTGAGGTTGACGTTTGGTGAAACATGAGTGATCCGTGAGGGTGGACGAGTTCAGTTTGTTTGGGGGGGGTCAAGGTAACCAAACAACCCCTGGACAAAGAAGGAAGTAAAACAGATGAAAACAGACTTTTATAAAACTAAAGTTAAATGTAGGTTAGTCAGTAGAACATATTGGGGGTTTGGAGTTAACGTGTAGTTGAAGACGAGTTGGTCGAGTCGGGTCGCTCTTCCTCTCAACTGCAAGTTACTAGTGAGAAAAACTAAGTTGCAACCCAACGTTAGTTACGGGGCAGTAAAGTTAAGCTGGTTTATTAGTTATTTCTTAATATGCCTGAGTGAGAACGGTTCAAAATACCGACACAGACAAAGTGAAACGTTAACGACAGCCAGGACGAACGTCCGAACAAACCACATCCCATAACGGTACTTTCTTTACGCGACCGAAATAATCCCCGAAACACAATATGACTCACGTCGACTTGTTCCGGGGGACGTCCTGGAGGTTTGGGTTGTGTTTACCGGAGGGAGAAGCTCTCAACAGTGGGGGAATAGTCCGTTATTTTCAGCTGAGGAGCTGTGGAGTAGATACGGTTGCTTTTTTTTTTTTTTTTTTCTCGCTCATGCCTATCTCCCCCACTTCTCCCTCTCCCGTCGCCTGTTCCTGCTTCCCCTCTCCACATCCAGCATTCCAATATGGCCGCCGCTGGGAGCGACGCACACACCAACACGAACGCGCATGCACGCGCGCGCTCACACACACACACACACACACACACACACACACACACAGATAGCGCGAGAGAGAGAGGGAGAGAGAGAGAGAGAGCGGGGGGGAGAGAAACCTACTCCAGGAAAGCCCTGCCTCGGGCACAGCACACCTCAGCCCATGAATGAATGAATGCATGTGTGGATTAGGGCCCACTTTACAGGCCTGAACTGCAGTGAGGGCAGTGGTAACGGAAGAGTATTACGGTGGAAAAGAAAAAGTGCATACAACTTTCACCAAAGTTAGATAAAAGTAGAAGCATCGATATATTTTTACAGTATCAAAACACATTATACAGAATTGCCCATTTTGGGATAATATAACGTTACATTGCAGTTACGTAATTGGATTGTAGTTATCGATGCATTAATGCGCACATGACTTTAACGCTGCAGGTTTGTGCAGAGGTTATAAGACGACACCTCGTGGTCATTGCCTGTTACCGCGGTAGTGTTGTTTCACTGTAATTCAAACCTTTGTAACCATCACACTGCTAAATCATAACTCTTTATTCTGCTTTTTGCGTGAAGGACACATCTGCTTACTAAGGCACATCAAAGCATGTTTTCAAACTTTCTTTTTTACCGTACTAATGATTAAAATGACCATGCAATCTGGTATTAGTAACTGTCTACTTTTCAAAGTAATCTTACTCAAACCTGTCTACTGTAAGGTGTTAAGTTATTAGTTCAAATTCATATTGATGACTTTTTAATGTATACACATATTCGTATACATTAAAAAGTCATCAATTATCATTTTATATATATAGCACCTATATATATTTATATATATTTAAAATGGATACTTGGTAGAGTTGGATTGTCAGCCCCCTGACCTGACTGTCTGTTCATGACAGAGATGACAACGACACAGAGGAGAAATTAGATGCCGTTAAAAAGAAAGAAAAAGGAAACCCTTAATGCGGTTTCATTTAGTGGAGGTAAAAGTTGACAACCTCTGATGTAATTATAAATATTCTTTTGCAATTTAGGACAGGTCATCTCTTACATACACATATTTAGCTTAACAGACAAAAGTGAAATAGAATAAAAAATTCCTTCTTAACAACCAAAATATGAAAAAGAATATAAACTGTTGTAAACAACGGACATCGCTGACATTTCTGCTCTAAATCTATCTATTTGTATGAAATAATTTTGTATTTGTTAAAAACAAATTAGGCTGTAATATTTTACTAAGTAATTCAATAAGTAATCTTTTCATCAAATCTCATAAACGCATTTTTAGTAGTCTTTTCATGTAGCAGTACACAAATCCCCCACTAGGTGACGCCATTGCACTCTGCTGTCGCCTCCCGGCGGTGCAAAAAAAGAAACTTTTATTTTGAAATGCAGGAAGTCGGCCTGAACGTGGCGCTACCTGTAGCTTTAGTTTGACAGTGCAGCGGTCCCCCACGCTGTGTCGGTAACTCGAGGTGTCTGTAGGAGACGGCGGTCGAGTCGGTGCCAACAGCGTTTCGTCCCGTGAACACGTTAATGACGCCAAACCGAGGATAGCGTCGGCTAACTCCGTGTGACGTCACCGCCCCGCCAGCGGAGATGATCGCGTGGAGTCAAAGTTGAGGTCGGTCTTTGATTTTCCCTTCAGTCGCGGTAAGACTCTTTCTCAACTGCTCTCAATTCAGTCTCATCTTTGCGGTGATGTGATGCACCGAAATGCTCCCGTCTGTGTGTTCACATTAACGCTACTCATGGTGACGGTTGTCTTAAGTGTCCAAGGCAGAATGAACGTGATGCTAACGATAACTACGTATTGTTCAAAGTGTTTCCAGGTGAGGGAAGAAAACGCTGTGAAATATCTTTAAAAACTGTCTTGATAACATAAGCCTGACTCGTTTCCTCCTGCATGTAATTTGTGCACTCGGGCTCAGGTCACAGATCCATTTTTCTCACAAACCAACCACAACCTTGTAAATGTTGTCCGGTTTCCGTTAAAGGGGCATTTCACCCCCTTTTTTAAGAGCTCACCTCTTCTTCCCGAGTCCCAGAAAAGCTCAGTGACCTCCTGAAAAACCTGTTTGTGTTTTCACTGTGATATGAAGTCAGAGGAACTAACATGCACGTGTCCAGGTCAAGAGGTTTCCAAATCAATTTACTTATTCACTGTCCATGGCCAATTTCCAATTAAAAACGCAATTTAATTCAAAAGTTTCCACATACCGGCAGATCGGTTGTGACGAGTATTTATTTCTCGCGCCACCTTGATTGTGGCGATGATCCCGATGGCGTTATACGGTGGCAGATCTATGGGAACTACCATCCTGTGGGTCTATGAACCCCTTTAAGGTCTTCTGCTGTGATTCGAGGCCTCGGTGAGGAACGTTATTGCCGTTTCAGAGATGGAGATGAAAAATGTCCAGTTTTGTTAACATTAGCCGTGAGCGGAATCTGATGCGTTTCACCAATGGTGTCCGACTTTTAGTTTGTTTGTTGATATGTTGGCTTTCCTTCTGGCTTCGCAGTGACGCCAGCTTTTCTCTGCGGGATAGCCGGTGCTGAATGAGGCTTTCACCAGAAGGGATGTCACATCTGCATTTGCAAAACGGCCAATAGAAACTCCCTCCCTGAAAGGGGGCACGAGTGGTCAAAACCTCCCTCCACATCCTTGACTTTTTAAAGCTATAACACCAAAAAAGTCAGCTTTAACCACTTCCATTTTGGAAGCAGCCTTCTTCCTCCATATCTGTTTTCAGTTCATCGATGTCACTTCCCCTTTTTAGACAAACTTGTCTGTTAAAGCTCCTGGGCAGTGTCTGCATGGAGGCCGCCCTCTCAAAGATTGGGTTGGGTTGGTTTCTCCTCCTGTCTGTCTCAGGCTCACATGCGAGGCATCTGCATTTCATTAAGTGTGTGTGTGTGTGTGTGTTTCTGTGACACAGCAGGGTACTTAGTCAGAGGCCGGAATGGCCTGAAGACTGAGAAAGAGAGAAAAGCTGGTCAAAGCGCGAGAACGAGCGCAGATCAGGAGCATGTAAAGGGAAAAGCAGGGAGGAGATGTGAGAGACGGTTAGAACGAAGAGAGGACGGTGGAGAGACACGAAAGAACAGTTTATAAAGTGGAGAAAAACGTAACAAGAGTGCAGTTTTCTGTCAAGTCCACTAATTGAAATCCTTCGTGTGTGTGTGCAGATCGGTAGGTAGGTTGATTTGTGAGGACTTAAAGCAGTTCTCTGGGGCGATGATTCCCAAACAAAGGGGGACAGACCAACGGAGAAAGGTAGCGAACGCTTAGGTGGACATTTTCATTGAAATGTCATTTTAAATCTCTTTCAGATGGAGTTGATTATTGAGTTGTTATTTGTGTAGACCAAACCTACGCGAAAAGAAGGAGGCAGCTGTTTGTATCACGTTGTTAAACTTTGTGTAACACTAAATATAAAACCTGTCCTGTATAAGCAATGTCTGGTTTAAGATATTTCTTTGAAATAGATATTCCTATTCACTGTAGACCAAACCCCAACATCTGTTAGTTTGGGCCGGAGTGCGTGTGTATGTGTTTTTCTGGGTTTTTTTACTAATTAGATTGCTTAAGCTCCAGTTTTGTCTTCTAGAAAACTGGAACCCAAATGAGATCACTTTTGTTTTGTGAGTCATGGCCGAACAATATGAAATATTTGAACCATCACCGCAAACTTCCTGCCAGTTGCCGTCATTGATGTTGAGAAATTTTACCAGTGGTTCTTTCTATATATAGTATGAGTTGTTGACTCATACAAGCTATTCTATCATAGTATTTCCAACCTCATGATCTTGCCTTGATCTAGTAAATTATATCCAAATAAAGTTGAGAAATGCCTTGAAGACAAAAAAATAAATTATAGGATTTTCTGTTATTCGATAATGGGTTGAATCGAATACTTGAAAATATGACCAGAGAAATCCACCTGGGCACAAGTGTTATAGAGAAAGTTTCACACATTTATGTGATGATGGTCTTATCCCATTGAAATGCTCTTTGTATGTGTGTTTTTCCTGCAGTGCGTGTGATGGCAGAGCTCCCGTCTGGACTGCTGGAGGCATGCGTAGTGATTGGAGCGTCCACTGATAAGCTCCGAGACATATACCAGGTACGTAGACATAAACATGAGGACGGGTGGAACGCAAGCAAACAAGATACGGGCAGCATTTACACCTTTTCATGCATCCTGTATCAACTTAGACTCCGGAGAGTGGAGACCACTGCCATCACATTACTGTTGAATGGACCTTTTGCACAGAAAGGGCACCTTTTTGAAGAATTAAGTATTCGTATGGTTTAAGTAAGGGAATGGATACACTTATAGATGCACAATCAATAGATCCACAATGGAGATGCATGTGTGGTGCACAACACTGGTAGTCCTAGCCTAGATCGCATTGTTCAGATGCATTGGAATTGTTTTGGTGATTCCCATGAAGCCAGTTTTGAACCCTCCAAAAATCTATATTTAAAATTGTGCCGGGGTAGTTGCATTGTATTTTACATACAGTTATTGTTCCAATATACCCAATTACCGTTTCCTCTGCTTCCACTTTTCTGCTTCATTTTGCACAGCTAAACATTGTATCTGAAATAAATGCCACAGCTTTAAAGGGAATTGCATGTTTTTGTTAATGTGTACTGTGACTTTTGTTGCCGGACCAACAACCCTGCATGTTTCTAACTGTGCCATAGCTCCATGTGCAGAGTAAGCTTGAGGAATTCCCCCTGTTGGAAGGAGAGGTACTGCAGGTCCATGCCCCGCCCTTTGTTTCCAAGGAAACCAACTCCAGCCAGTTGATTGGACCGGCCTTCAGTCGTGTCCAGAAGAGGAGGAGCTTTATCAAAAAAGTAAAAAAAAATAATTTCATTTTAAACTCTAAATAGAAATTCATCTCCTCTCGCGGGAATCTTTGTTGGTCACGTACAGGAATAATATCCATATTTGTTGTTGTTTTTCCGATGGTTTGCAGAAGAGGCGAGATCGTGCTGCAGAGGTGTTGCCTAACGGAGAAACTAGCAATAGTGCTGAAGTGTCCTCGGCGACGGACGACATCAGTGTTCCAAAGGATCTGGACCTCATCGCCTTGCCACAGCTCTGTTTCCCCGGTACCGTGTGTTTCCTCCGTGACAAACCAAACATTGAATGACACAATGGTGCAAATCTATTTGTTCTGCAAATACAACAGTTTTTATGTTTCCTCTGTACGACATGGGGTTTTTTTTTAGGAGTGGCGCCACGTTTTTACTGTTCCCACGTGCTTACTTCTTTATTGCATGGTAAAACGTTGTTCATACCCTGAAATCTATGAATCCTACTGAACAAAGGCGCGGGAAAGCCTGGGTGGGGTTAGTGGAGACAATGGAGTAGAACTTTCGATTGACCTGGAGAACGTCGTGGCGTACGGAAGGATTCAGAAAGGGAAAGCAGCACCCGGCGTTGGGATATTGTTGAGGAGTGGAGAGAGCGCTTTGAGAGTCACTCACGGGCCTGACCAACACGTCCTGTGTGCAGAGGACCCACCGTACCCCAATGATGTAATCGCTGAGGTTAGGGTTATGCCGGGTGACATGCCGAAGGCTCTGGACGTTGTTTGACTTGTCTTGGCGCTCACGCCTCTTCAGTGTAAAGTGGTCAGGGCCAGTTGGGGACCAAAGCTTTAAATTTACCAAGTCCATCTACACTCTCACCGTCCTCACTTGTTACGAGCTTTGGGGATTGACCAAAAGAATGTGATAGCGTACACAAGCGTCCGAAATGAGCTTCCTTTAGAGGAAATCCAACATCCGTTAGCAGCAACAGGGGCCATCTGGGGTAGTTTGGGAATCTAATCAGGTTTCCTCTCATACGCCGGCTGGATGGATTTGATTTATACGTGACTTCCACTCCTATAAGGGGCGTAAAGTTAAACTCAGCTTAAAGACGTCTTGGTTTCCCTTGGATAGGTGGTCTCCAGTTAGCCAATGAGCAGCGAGAAGACAGTTATCACTTCCTGGTGTTTACTGACCTGTTTGGGAACCGAACCCACGGAGTTGTCGTGCAGTACGACAGAGCCGTACAGGTACGCACACACACACACACACTAACAGAAAAACACGTTGAATCCAATGAATGTAGACCGTTGTTTCTCATTGGCTATCTACCGTGTCAGTCCTGTCAGGAAGGTGCTGTCCCGAATGGCAACAGGTGGAATTCATCGAAGTCCCGCCTCTACACACCTTTTGCTCTGTGTGTCATCTCTAAGTTCCCCTATTACAATGCTCTGAAAGACTGCTTGTCATGGTAATCCTTTTCATTAAACACGATTAGCTGATGGATAACCTTCCCCCTGGTTACCGCCCTTTGCTGACGTGTTTAACCCGTTTCTGTCTTCCACCCCTCGACTCGATCCCCAGTCTCCTGGTCCTGTTGCGGCTTGCGAGACAAGCTGACTTTGAGGAGACCATAAAGGAATTTTCAGCCAAGCTTTCCCTGGTTCCTTTACCACCACCTGGACAGCTACACGTGGTCAGAAAACACCCCTCTTCCTCCCTCTCGGCCTTTTGTTGAGACACGTCTCACACGTTGTCTCTCACATGATTTGTATTTGTGTCTCCGTGTGACCAGTTTCAATTGTGTTTCTGGGTGTTAGTCCTTCAACCTCCGTCCCATCAACGTGGTCCTTCCATCAAGGAAAGACCAGGACAGCCCCATTATCGACATCGACCTGCATCTTCCTTTCCTCTGTTTCACGCACACAACACTACTGCAGGTAACACCGCTTACTGGGATATAAATGTATGTATGTTTATTTATTTTATATATATATAAAAAAAGGTGCTTTTACTTTAGTTTTGGGGGTATTTCTTATGAGAAACGAGAGGTAAAGGGAGTTATGGGCGGATAATCGGTTACATAAATGACATTGTGAATATTAGGAAACGAGGGATTCTGATGTTCGGGGGACACTGCGTCCCGTCTCTCTCTCTCTGTAGGTGCTGTCCTGCCTCCTTCAGGAGCAGAGGCTGGTGTTCTTCTCCTCCGACTGGGCCAGGCTCACTCTGGTGGCAGAGAGTTTGCTGTTGTTCCTGCAGGTCGGTAGAGGAGGAAATTGTTTTTTTGTTTTTTTTTACTTTAAAGAGATGTTGCATAACGTCCCGCATCGTCCCCTTATCGATCTATCTCCTTAATCGGTCGTCTGTTCCTCTGACGTCTCCCTCAGCCTCTGTCCTGGCAGCAGCCTTATGTTCCCGTGTTGGCGAGAGGAATGCTGGACTTCCTCATGGCTCCCACGGCCTTCCTGATGGGCTGTCACATCAGTAATTTTGAAGAGGTCGCTGCGGTGAGTACCGTCCACTGTCCACAAACCGGCTTCAGGCCTACACTCTTGTCTGTGTCAGCGAATCTAACCTTTACCTAACTCTGACCTATGATATCTTTGCTATTTCCCTAAAGCGGCAAAGCTCTGGGCCGTAAAGTTAACGTCAGGTTTATCATAAATTGTATGAAATTCGATTTTAATTCAAATGACTAGTATTTTTGCTATTGTCAACTGATAATTCCTCTTTATCTGGGGTCTCACAGTAGCCTAGTTCACATGTTTAACAGTAGCTGCCTGTTATTACAACACAGTCAGACTGTGTTGTAATGAATTGTACGCATTGTACCTACAATATCTGGATATTTGTGTGTGTGTTCTTTGTGTAGGAGACAGAGGAGCTCATTCTGGTGAATGTTGATGATGGCATCATTCAGTCGTCATGGTCTGAAGGCTTTGACCTGCCGTCCATCCCTTTGGCTGCTGCTGAGTGCTTTATCTCAAGGTAACACACACACACACACAGGATACTGCTGGCTGTAATTTTCCTTTAATCGTGCCCAGAAACACAGTGTGCAGACACTCTTAGAATATAGGTTTACTAGAACCATTTTTCAAATAACAAAGGGAAGACCGTGAGTCTGTTCGGAAATTCTGATTCTTTTGTACTTTTGTGTGTGTGTGTGTGTGTGTGTGTAGGGCAGAGTGTCTTCGGCTCCACTATGACCTGGAGCAGTGTCATCTTGGAGCGGCCACTGATGCCAACGCGCTGCGAGCTCAGCGCAGAGACTGGCAGACGCGCCTCAACACACAGATACAAAACATTTCACTGGAACTGGTGGTTAACGTCTTCAGGTAATGCAGCTTTCCTTTACAAATTCTTCTTTCATGATTGTAGGAAATGGAGTTGCAAGCTCGATGTTCATTTATGCAGTATGATTCGGCCAGAGTCCGTTTCTGAATTCTAACTCTTTTCTCCTTTGTCAGAGGCGTCCAGGACTTTCTGAACCATGAACACAGAGTTTTCAACAGCGAGGAGTTTCTGAGAACCAGGGAGCCGTCGGATCAGCTGTTTTACAAGACGGTACACTCACACGTTCTTACAAATAAGACACACACACAGACAACTCTGACTCACACAATCTGTGCTGCATATTTGTCTTTGTTGTCGTCCCCAGGTATTAGACACTCATATCTTTCACTCATTTCTGCGGGACCGGCTGAACAGGAAACAAGACGCCTTTAGCCGCATGGAGCAGAACACGCGTAACCATGCACACCGGTAGGATACCTGCCAGTCACAGCCGAGTGACGGCGGCCACCAGGCAACTGTGGGGACAAAAGTGCATTGTTGAATGCTTAAAACAAAAAGTCTATTTTAAAGACCATGTAAATATATACAGTACAGTGATTAAAGTAGTTATTTTCTATCGTACCTTTAGTCTGTTCCATGGTCATAGGAGCTTGATAAGTCCGATTAGAGCTAGAACAATTAAAGTTATAAACTGTGATTTCAGGCCATCTCCTCTAATCAAACATGTCATCTGTAGTTTGAGAAAATAATTGGCAAATTAACTGATAATGAAAATGAAGTTTCAGATCAAAAGCAGGAAAAACACAGCAACTAAATGAGTGATGCACACAGTGTAGAAGGCACACTAGAATGGGAGATATACATCTCTCCCCAGTGACCTACTGTAAGAAAGACTTGGGATTGGCGATATGCAGTGATTATAAGCCTTGACGTAGATCACAACTGAGCCCGTTGAAACCCTCGGCGTCCCTCTGCAGGAACCGCGCGATGACGGAGTCTCCTCGGCGTCCTCTCCTGTCTGACCTGTCCCGCAGTGGCTACACCAGCTACACCAGCCCCAGTGACCGACTGAGCAGGAGGCTTGGAGCCAGCCTGCCTAACCTGGACCAACCTGACAGCCCGGCGGCCCTCAGCTCCAACAGACAGGCCTCCTACAGGAAGATGACGCCGGACGCAGGTCGGTGCTGACAGATGAAAGTGATTATTAATGGAGAGTCGGTCAAGACTCAAAACAATGTCCCCTGTCATCCTCCAGGGTTTAAGTGTCCCCAGAGAGCGGTGAAGGTTTTCCGCCTCCCAGAGTTCCCGCCTCCGCTGGCCTACCACTACGTCCAGAACTATTATTCTGACATGGTGTCTTCGCTGGGGAAGGCTATTAGCGCCACACCGGCTGGAGAGTCTGCTCTGATGGCCAGGTACCTTGAGGAGACATAACGGAGGATCTTTAATGTTAGACGTTCAATATATAAATCTGAATTTTCCGCACAGACGACAACTTTTGTGACATCCACATAACCGACACCCGATACACTTTTGTTCCATCCATCCGTCTCTCCAGGTATCACTACCTGCGAGGTTTGGTCAACACGGTGTCCAACAGACGTCTGGATGCACTGGAGGATTTCCAGAGTCTTTATAAGACGGACTCGGACATCTTCCCTTCTCAGATGGTTAAGACACTGGTTGACTCTCTACCAGCAGGGGAAAGGTCCCAGGTCAGTGTGTGATGACGCCGTGGTGCACTTTGCTAGTTGTAAATGCTAGTTGTACATGCGGTTATCTGGAGGAGCCTCGAGTGCACCTCATTTACAGACACGTATACTGCTCAAGTGGAATTAAAACAATCGTATTGTTGATTTGTACAAAACATTAAATATAATTTAAACTCGAGTAAAGGTAAAACGTAATGGCAGTAACTAACTCTATTTACAATCCATGGGTTGTATCAGAAGGTCAGTGAGGATTGTGCCGCCGCATTAATGGCAATAATAATGATGGAATCCCCTCAACAGGCGGACAAACGGCCAGAACTAAGACGGCTCATCTGTCGGGTCAAGAGGGACCAGGAGCGGGAGCTCGCGCTCGACGGCAACGGGCGTGAGGAAGCCGCCGTAAAGCGCTTCAAGCTGCCGAAAACATATATGCAGCTGGAGGAGTTTGTAAAATGCATCCAGGAGTCTGGCATTGTAAAAGACCATGGAACCATACACAGACTCTTTGAAGCCCTAACAGTAGGTAAGTAGTGTAATGCACATTTACGAGAGCAGCGCCGCCCGCCTTTTCAGTTGTTTTGATCAAACAGGCACATCAGACAGCCCAAAGAACTTTTCTCACCAACTCTTAAGCTGCTGCCAAAGAAACACACAGTACACTCCTAATTCTCCCTCGCTCTAGGCAAACATTCGTTCCCGAGGTTAATCATTGCCTCACCCCTTCTTGAAGAAGGAGAGTTGGTCATGCAGGGCTCTTTGGTGTTGTAGGTGTAACCAAGGCTCCACTGGTAATTTACTGACTTGGGTGCTGGCAAATGGCAAATATTTTCACTTGCATGTAGTGATGCGCCGAGCAGACTTGAGCATCACTGTTTGTACATTGTCAATTGTACGTGAGGCTTCTAGAAACCAGTGCCGGCCCTCCGGCGGGCCGCAGTGACCTGGCAGCATTCCTGTTTTCTTAGACTGGGTATGTAAACCAGAAAGACAAGATATCATATGGGCCTGAATAAAAAAGGGTATTTGTTTTTAATTTAAGATAAGCGCTGCTGGGGAGGCCCTGTGTTTTGAAGGGGGGAGGTGAGGTTCTTTTCAAAAGCTGAGATAGTTGTTAAAACTGTGTTCTGGAAATCTTTCTTCAGGAAGACAGGTTGGAGGGAGGGCGACCTTAACTCGCCTCCCACAGTATGTTTTTGTAAAAAGAGCGTTTACGTCCTGTTTGGTATGTAGTGAAAACAAGGTTTCCTTTTTGAACGAGATGCAGAGATGCAGGGTTTTCAGAGTGTTGGACAGCTGGTTATCAGCTCCAGAAATCCAACCGTAGATCACTTTTTTTTTTATTTTTTATGGCTTGAATAACTCATTGTCTTCGTATCTATGGAAATGACTCATGCTTCGATAAAAGTTAACAGCGCCTTTTGAGAATATTTTAAGTCATTGCCCTGTTGTGGTTATTCCAAGTCCTAATGAATCGTGCCTTTTTAAATTAAATGTGTTGTACATGTGTCGTATGCTCAGTGGTCATTAGAAGATGGCTGTGCCTGCACGGGATCTTGGGTGCAAGGAATTAAACACACACTGTAACCTAATGAACGTGTGTGTTTTGTTTGTTGCAGGCCATCAGAAGCAGGTGGGTCCAGAGTTGTTTAGAGTCTTCTACACCATCTGGAAGGAGACGGAGGTCGAGGCACAGGAGGTCCGTGTGTAGGCTTTACTGGAAACATGCAACACAATGACCCAAATCGTGAATATACAGATTTGGTCACACCAACCCCGGTTATATTCACATTCACAGTGTGGCGGTGAAGCGTGACATTGACGGAAAAAACAATTACGTCGTGTCAGCTGATCATAACTTTTTTTTAAAGCCTATTTGACTTTTTTAGGAAGCTGTGATTGAGTTGTTTTGCTTTTGAAAAGAACCTGCTGTTTTTAAGAGGTTTGCTTTTCCCCTAGACCAGCCGACGAGTCGGTGGACTCAGCTGACCGGTCGTTATGTGGTTTTCAGGTGTGCCTGCCGGCGTCCGTCTCGGAGCACATTGAGTCCGGCGAGTGCATCTTCAAGCTGTCCTCGTCCGTCAAGACGAGCCGCGGCGTGGGGAAGATCGCCATGACTCAGCGGCGGCTCTTCCTGCTGACCGACGGACGGCCGGGATACGTGGAGGTGGCACAGTACCGAGATTTAGAGGTCAGACAAGAGGAAGGGCAAAAAAAACAAAAAACCTTTTGAGGCTAGTTTGAACTGTAGGTTCAATCTAAGCAAGTTGGTCCTGCGTCGTTATCGAGGTCCTTTCCTCCTCTCCTTCCTGCAGGAGGTGAAAGTGTCCTCGGCTCCCTTCCTGCTCCTGAGGATCCCCAGCCTCAAGCTGCGCGTTCAGGGCAAGAAGGAGGCGTTCGAGGCCAATTTGAAATCGGAGACCGAGTTATGGAACCTGATGGTCAACGAGATGTGGGCTGGACGCAATATGGCTGACCAGCACAAGGTGTGTGTGTGTGTGTGTGTGTGTGTGTGATGAAGGGTGAATCGGAGGAGTTGCACAAGAAAGATAATTTAGTGAGTTATCATGAGCCTTTGTTTTTTGTACATTGGCCTTATCCAGGTTTGTGGGGGGGTGTGTGTGTGGGGGGGTGTGTGTGCGCTCTTCATGCAAGTCATCTTAAAGTGACCTTCGGTAGGTGTGGCTGAAATTCCCTGAGGGCGAAGCCGAAAATAAATACACACTTGAACAAAGCCGGAGGTTTTTCCTTCATGAAACCAGAGGATGTAACTGTAACACCTCCTGTCTGTGACTCCTCTCGTGGTTAATCTCTTCTTTTCACACGGCCTGTCTTCGTGGCTGAATAAGCTGCATTGTCAACAACTCTGACAGCAAAGCACCACCGAGTCGCACCACTGAATGTAGAATTATTTTCTAGAATCTCAATGTCAAGTTGTGTCGTAATTGCGACCGAATCTTTGTCTCCAGGACCCTCAGTACATGCAGCAGGCTCTGACCAACGCCTTGTTAATGGACGCGGTGGTGGGCAGCCTTCAGAGCAGTAAGGCCATCTACGCTGCTTCCAAGTTGGCTCACTTTGACCGCATCAAGATGGAAGGTGGGTGATGATTACGGTTCTCTGTCTGCTCTCATTTTACGGCCCAGCTCATCCACACGGAAGGCATTATAGCTTCAGTTTGCTTCGATTCAGTTCAGATGTTACTCGGAAACAAATATTTTGTGAAAGCCCAGTTGACTCTCTAACGTCGGTCCGTGTTTCTTTTCTAGTGCCGATGATGGTCCCAAGGACAACGGCAGAGACGCTGAAGCACAAAATCAACCCCTCGCTGGAGCTGGCTGAGCCTCACGCTGTAGACGTGCTTCTATACACTCCGGGTAAAACCTGTGACCGAGCAATCTCCCTCCGTCTTCTCACCGTCCGCTTTCCTTCTTTGTATCTCTCGTTCGAGGGAGTTTCAGCTGCGACACCGACACAAAGTCACTGACTTGCACACGGAAACACACACACACACACACACACACCCACACACATGACCTTTGCTTCTGTGGAAGCTCCTCTCTTACTGACTGACTCGCTCATAAAGCTGCAGCACAGTTGTTTCTCGACCTCTCAAACAGAAGGAAGTGTGGGATGCTTTAAAAGCATGTGGAAAACACTGAATAAGTCAGACAACCCGGTTTTCACCTGCAGCAAAAGTAAACACGTCAGGTGTGAGATGGTCCCTTTCCAGGAAAAAAACACAAGTAGATGATTCACTTTTCGCCATGTTAACCTCTTAAATTTGCTTTAGCCCCACGCCACAAGAGAGTAAGGACGCCTAAATGTACTCATTGTAAAAGTAGCAGTGGGTTTATTTTGTGTAAAATGATCAAATAATAGAGGAACACAAAGTGCATTGAAAGTGGGAAATGAAGCTTAACAAAATAAGGAACATGCAGTTTGATCCTCTTTGTTAGTGACAAAAATCTCCCTGTTAATACGTAACATTGTTTTTGAATCAACGTGATTAACTACATTCTAAATTTAATATTCACTGGTTGTTTTTTGTGGAGAAATGTCACGCTTTTTATAGAGTTTAAAAACTATTTCCAAAAGAGTAGATGACCCAGATGGAGGATATCTACTTTACTTTTGATTTATTTTTTTAAAACGTTTACCTTGAAATAATCTGTTTAGTGGTGAGAAAACGCATCCCGAGAGCCAAAGAGCACAAAGTCTAACCAGCGGAGTTCATTTACAGACTTAAATGACTTGACGCACATTCTCAATGATCCTTTTGAGAAGAAACAAAGCGTCGCCAGATTCCAGCACTCATGGGAGATTTGGGGAGAAAACATCTGTTCGACAGAGCTCTGAACCACAATATAAGTAAGCATGTTTTAAATAACAACAACAACAACAACCTCACCAAGCGGAGGCACTCTGTATGAGCTGCGGCGGCCCAAACTTTTTCCAAGACACCCATTCTTACTTTTAACTTCTCGTCAGGTGATCTCGCCATTCCATTTACCTTTGACCACAATAATTGTCTACTGTTGTTTAGCGTCTGGAAACAGAACTCTGCCTCTACGATGCCGGGGCAGACAGACCGGCGCACAAGTGGCAGGAAGGCTGAGAGGAAAACGTCCTAAAAAAGAACTGTGAAGCCAACAGCCTCAAGTAGAAACGACCGTATGGGGCCACTTGGATGTCCGGGCAGGCCGACGCCGCCCCCCCCACCCCCCCCCCCCCCCAGCACGAACACGCTCGCACTCACTGATGGCCACTCATACAGACTCTGTTCAGTTCTTCGGTCACAGATGGCTTCCACATTTCTACTGGGGAAAGGAACAAATCTGGCCATTCATTCCCCTCCCCGCCTCTCTCGGACACTCCAGTTTGAATATAGGTCACTGAATTGAATTTCTGGTGCAAGGCCAGTTCACTCCTACTTCTACACCCCCCCCCCCCACCTTTTTCTTTCCACTGGGTTTTTCTTAAACAGTGCTGAATATGTTGGAATATTTGACCGTTAGGGTGGAGTCGGGCAGCGAGGAATGGCTGCGAGCCGTGTTTTCCCTTCAAACGGCGCGTTTCCCTCTCGGGCCTCCTGGGAGAGTAAACGAGCTGCAGGTCACGCGTTGCGTGAAATAACACTACATGTGTTTCAGGTCAGCTTTGGGTGTCTGTGGGCATGGGGAAGGTGATGGTGTTCGATGCCTCCAGCTGGTCCCTCACACACACCTGCCACGTTGGAAATGCGAGACTGGTAACAAGAACAACAGACACACACACACATTGCACACACCTTAAAATCTGCACAGGAATTATGTGAAAAAATAGACTCCGATCTTTCCAACCAAAATCTCTCTCTGTGTTGCTCAGTTAGATATTGAAAAGGTAATGCTAGCTAATGCCGTTGTATCACTTAGTAACACTTGAGGAGATGTTTGACTTTTTCACCAGGTAGGATCAGCAGCACGTACATTCCCCTGACTTTGGATACACATCTCATTGCGTGCGCCGCATCAAACGTGATTATCTGCAGATGAGCAGCGTTCAGTTTGCATTCCCTTCCAGAGCCAAATCAGTTCTGTGCAAACATCTACTTTCACAACAAAAAATGTTAAAATGAAGGGAAGAATGGGTTTAATGTTTTATAGATTGGTGCTAATCACTGACCTGTGTGTGTGTCTGTGTGTGTTTTCTCAAGATTCAACCATAATATTTACACACAGTTCACTATTAGAGAATTAGGGCATTTGGACATTGCTCTTTATTCAACAATAGTTAGCTCAAACATGATTTAAAATAGCAACGTATAAGAAAATAGCAAGCAGACTTTGTTTACTAGACAATGATAGCACCTGGTGGAGGATTCGGGTATTGCAAAGTCAATTTACTCCCACACTAAACTCTCATCCCTTTCTGTTTAACCGTCTGAGGTAATGCTTCTAATTATGCACTACCTAAGCTGCTTACATTTACACATACTTGTTATAATTTTTTTTATATTAAACAAATGGCGACCAAGAGAACTTAGGAAAATAAGTTAAGTGGTCTTTTCCACTGTGGTTCAATGCTCGTCATGTTTGCCTAAAGCTTAAGGCAACGTGTCTGAATGTTTGGGTTTGGGGCGGTCCGATTCCCGCGAGTAATTTTCCTTTTACCAGAAAATATTGGGCTTTTTTTTTTCTTTTCTGTAAACTTTCATGATAATAATAATAACATTCAACATGGATAATATATAATGATCACTTGTTTTTTGTCAAGGAAACTAGCGTGTCTGAAAATACAAATAATAAGTATGTGGACAACACTGTACGTTGCCTTTTTAAATCTGTCATCCACCCCAAATGTTTTCATATGCATTCCTGTCATTGTTTCCAGAACTGCATGCTGGGAGTTGATAAGGACCAGGTGTGGATGGGCTCTGAGGACTCTGTTATCTACATCATCAGCATGCTGGCCATGGTCTGTAACCGACAGCTGACTGAACACCGGGCCGAGGTCACCGGGCTGGCGCTGGACGTTGACAAATACAAGTAACGCACGCGCACACACACACACACACACACACTTTCACCAAGTGTCCATTCTATGTACATGTCTGGGGTCGAATGTAGGAGCCTTGTCTTTGTCTGACCTGTAATACGGCCCCATGTTACTCAGCCAGAAGGTGGCGTATTCCTGCAGTGCAGAAGGAAGCGTCATGGTGTGGGACGTCCCAACCCTCCAGGTCAGTTTCAAACCAACACGTGCATTGCATTAATTGATTAATTAATGGTTCACAGGTAGATCTTTAAGGATAACATTTAGTCTCCGTTCTTCTCATTCGCTTCATTTTTGTTCTTTATGTCACCGGTCACTCAGGTGAAGAAACAGTTTCGCCTCACCTGCGACCGCCTGCAGTCCGTCTACAGCTGTAACGGGACGCTGTGGTGCTGTGAGTCTTTACACTCGAGGCGTTGAAACAAGCCAACGCGAGAGTCGGTTTGGAGACCGATGACTCTGTTTTTTTTTGTTCTGATCTCCAGCTTCCAGGGAGAACATAATGGAGGTGTGGAGGAACGGCTCATTAAAACACCGTCTGACTCTGACAGAGCAGCAGAAAGGATGCACAGCTACATTCAGCGCTCTGCTGCTGTTGCCAGAGGTGCCCGTCACAGTTCTCTCTCTCTCTCTCTCTCTCTCTCTCTCGGTCTATTGGTTTGTCGTGCCTCCGTATTTGAGCGCGACACCCTTTCTTTCCCTTCTATGTGTTGGTTAGAAGGAGGAGCTGTGGAGTGTTTGCGTGGACACGGGAGAAGTGTGCGTTTGGCGCACTAACGACACAACCAAGCCGTATGACCGCGTGGTCCTACAGGACTGCGCCGGATGCCACTGCATGATCAAAGTCAAAAACCAGGTGAATACACCGTACTGATCTACACAGACACTTTAAAAATCACCCACGAGTGCAGGGCAGCGTTGTAGAGACGAAGGCTCCCTCCTTCTCTTCTCTCCAGGTGTGGGTCGGGGGCGTCAGCCGCACGGCCGCCAAAGGCAAGATTTACATCCTGGACGCGGAACGCCACCAGATCCTGAAGGAGCTGCACGGCCACAGCGACCAGGTGACGGCGCTCTGCTCCGCGGAGGACCGGTACGTCCTCAGCGGAGCGGGCCAGCACGACGGGAAGGTCGCCATCTGGAAGGTGGAGTAGAGTCTGCTCTGAGGAGAAAAAAAAACAGACAGGTTTTCAACAGTCGCTCCGCTTTGAGGCTCTCCGGGACGGCCTGTGCACCAACGAGCTTCAGAATCCGAGCGGGAACGGAGTGAAGGTCCGTGAACGCAGAGCGGATGGGAATCCCAAACGGACTCAACTAACGGTACTAACATGTCATTTTTCGGGAATATGAAGGATGAATGAAGACTGGATATATATTTGTTTTGTATTCAAAGTGCATCACTTTTCTGAAGACATTTACATTCGTACTATTATCATAGCATGCCCTGTTTAATGCTGCTTTTTATCGACTACGATGACACTTCTATCATCTGGGAGCCTTGTGCGAGCGAGAACCACCTCCAACTGTGTTTTTGAGTTTGGTTTCCACAGTGCAAAGGAGTCAAGGACTAGTGCGATTGGAGATTGATGGTGGGAAAGACCCATTTTTAATCTTAAAACAGTTATTCTTTTTGCATTTCACATGATGGGAAGTGGGGAGCTTGACTCAAACTCTGACATGTGACACTTGTTTCAGAGCAGCTCAAGAGGAACCAAGTTGCAATCCGATAGAAATGCACAAAATGAGGACCAACCCCAGTGTTTTTATTTTGTTATGTTTTGTTATCAAATACTTACCTCATTTTTTGACTACGTTTTTAACATTTAGTCTATTTCTTTTCCTACAAGATTAGTTTTACTTGTGTTTACAAGCACAATGGCTAAATGTTTCCACGTACAGACTGGCTGGTGGGATCATGGTCAGATCTAACTACTCGGCTGTAGAATGCCTTATGATATTAAAAACCAAGTTGTATATCATTTTAATTTAAAAGGCCAGGCTATGAATTTCTATTGTGTTCTGTAGACATCTGTGATATATGCATTTTTTTTTATGTTTCTACTTTATTTCCTTAACGTTATTTGTGTAGACTAAGTGAAACAAAATAGACTGGATTTTTCTTTCACTTTATTTTTTCTTTATGGGATTCTTTAACTATGAAAGTGAAGAAATTGGCATACATGTCTTTTTTCTGTTCTGTTTAACAAAAACAGAAATTTGATAAATCCTTTCTCTTTTCTTTATGTATTTATATAAGTATATAACTGGTGAATGTGAATATAAAATACATTCCTATTGTAAACTAAACTAGTGACAACGCAAACAACTTCATTATGACACTTTATTATATCTTCAAGACTGTTTGACAAAATTGTCTGATGTTTAACCAACAGTGAACAACGTAAATACACATTTTTATGAATAAAGTCTTCAGTTTATCTTTATTTTCAACCGGGGCAAGTTTCAATAAGCGGTTTAACTCGTAAAAGTGCAATGCAACTGGTCAGGAAGTCTCATAAGTAAATACTTCTTCACTTTAAGTGATTAAAAAATAAACACAATTGGGATTGATTGCTCCCAATAATCCAACAAAGCCACCCTTATAGTTTTATGGCATACGTTTATTACTTTGCCATCCCACAACTTCATGCTGCATCACATGATTTGAGCTTGTTGGTTCCTGCACTTTTCAGAGTTCACCAGCAGGTGGAGATATTTGATACTGAAAGAAATGAACGCTGGGCAAGTTTTCTGATGAGAGGTCATTGGAGTTCAATTTCACGGGTCAGAACCCCAAATCAATATAACAGACACACTTTCTCTATCAGTCAAACCATTGATTATTTTATTTACTACACAGCTGACGGTTTATCACTTTAATCATTTCTACATAGTTGATTAATAAGGTTGATCATGTCATGAAAAAGACTAAAAACGTTTTGTTTTTTTTATTGTGCAGGTTATTTGGTCTTGGCTTTTAGACATATTGTGTTCCAATTGTAGGTAGTTTGCTCCAAAACAACAACAAAAACCTGTAACACAATGCTTGTAATGTAGTTGCACTGCCAGAAACAGCTGAAGAATTGAGCTAAAATACTATTTGAAATACATTAATGTCTGAACTTTCAAACATTTTACTTGCAGATGTGCAGTTCTGTGCAGTTTGTTTCGGTATGAATGTGTACGTTGGTTGTTGTGTTACATAAAGCCATAAGCACCCTGTAATCTCTCGCTGTGCAAGTCCACTCGTACTTCGGCTGCATTAAGTTGCTCTCTGTGTCTCCTGCAGCTTGTAATCACTTTAAATTTAATCCATAAATGTTTACTTACAGAAGAGCTAGATTAATAATAAGAAAAATCCACACAGTTGCTGTTTGTGCAGAAACACAAAGCTTTGAAGCAATAACTATTTAGCAAAACGCATGGCAGTGATACCAAAAAAGCATATTTAAATTCTATTAATGTCATTAGCATTGTAGCAGCGAGTGCAGCCTTTCATCTTTTAATAAGGTAAATAATAATACCAAAATCATCAATGCAGTCTGTCCCTATGAGGCTCACAAAGCATCATGCCATCACTAGTTGCAGATGGAATTCCTACAAGTTTGCTGCACACCATTATATTTTCAGTCTTGTTCTCACACATAAAAGACAAAATAGAAGACGATCCTCCAGGATCCTCCGGGCAATTGGAAGAGAACATTCAAACTGCTACATGTCAGTTGTATTTTGCAACTTGCGACATGTCGTGACATCAGGCGTCTAAAAGAAGATGACGATGATTTGTGCAGAAAACCCTCCGCTGCTTTCAGGTTGTAAACCTTCAGTGTCAGATACGTGAAACGGAATGCCCAAAATGAGACGGGATTTTTTGAATGCATCAGGAAACGTTCCTTTTTTCTCACACCGCACATTGTTTCAGTTTCTGTCTTGGTTGAAGTACCAGCTGCTCCTGAAATGAGTCACCTGTGGGAATGTTCGCATGCTGAGAGAAGCTGAAAGCCCCATTCGAGTGCACTTTGTGCAATTATGGTGTTCCATATAATCAGACTACGTCTGTTGTGCGTTACACAAGAAACTTGTTCAGTAACTTTTCAAATACAGTTTGAGTTTTTAAAACATTGGCACTAGTGGACGTAATGCTGACTCCTGTATTATAGCACAATGACTTACTGAGCTGTGATTCTTTTGCTTGATCAGCTTTTTCTAATAGTTTTTTTTCTGACACAGCTGAAACACTAGAAAGAGGCTACGGGCAAACAATTTATTTTTGTCATTGGGTTTCAGAGAGTAAATGTGCCTCGATTTTATCTGAGGCAACTGCAAGACTGAAATAAATGGAGGTAAAACAAACATGTGACTTTGTTTGCTGATCTGAAAATAATAAACACATTTTGCTAGTTGGGGAATGTATAGAACAGCAGGTATTTACATGGATAGTTACGATTTAGTCAAGTCAATTCCTTATTAACCCAGAGGTTAAGTCTTCACTCGTACAAGTTTAAATGACAGGTATTAATAAGGTTGGATGAAGAGGAAAAACAACGGTATGTTTCCACTAAGAGTACATCAACAATCAGGAAGTAACTAGTTAAGAAAATCAATGTTTTCAAGTACTCCGATTGTTATACTTTTTTATTTCATTTTTATTATATTTAATCATATTTATCATAATTATTATTGTTACCTCGTTTGTGATGTGTTGCTGCAGCCTCTTTGTTGTCATCATTGCACACATGCTCTCGGTATAATTATTAGAGTGATTGCCTGCTGATTCACGTCCTACTATTCATGTCCCTCCTTCGGTCTTGTTTGTGTCTGTTTATTCATTTTGTCATGTAGCATTTGCACACATATTGTTATTTTTCCCCAGGTCTCGTACGATGAATGTTTCGAATGTGAAAAGTCAAATACATTTCCAGAAAAAGACAATTAAAAACACAGTAGAATAAAGGTAAACATGACGCTATTCACCCCAAATCCTCCCGACTCCTACTTTCTTTTTTTTCACGCTGCCACCGTCGCCCCGCCCCTTCATGTGCAAATCACCCTCTACGTCAGCGGAAGTCAGCGTCCCGCTTCTCCTTCCGACAGCTATTCCTTTAAAGGCGTATTTAAAGCCCCCTTTGGCTCCAGTTGCTGCAGCGCCGGACGAACCCTATGCAACGCAAGCTGCCGCGGAGACGAGCGACTGTCCCACCGCTCAGCGGACACACACACACGGACACACACAGCGGGAGGCAGCGGGCTGACACGAGCCGGCGGGGTGAGGACATTTATTATCATTCCGCCGAGGCGGGTCCTCTCCGGAGTACACAGCATCTCAGGTTGCTGCCGCTGCTGCGGAGAGGAGAGGAGGAGGAGGAGGAGGAGGAAGGGGGGGTACAGTAGTTTGCGAAAGGCCCGTGTTAAAAAACAAAAAGGAGAAGATGCTGCAGCCGCGGACAGAGCGGGTCGGGCTGCGTGATTAGGCTGCTCTGCTTATAGCGTGTTTATAAGTAGGCTTTCTGCACGGCTTTAGGGGAAAATTACGCAGAGATCGGCATCGAGGGCTGCAGTTCGGACGAATATAGCCTTCGTTTCCTTCATCGCCGCGTCGTTTGCGGATGGCCAGGGAGCGGCTACCTGACTTTTGAATGCACCTGTGCGTCATGACAACAAGGGACAGGTGTGTTCGGCATCGCACTGCGGGCTCCGCGGCTCCCCCGGCTGGCTAAGAACAATATGAGGAGTTCCCTGCTGTTGTTGTCAACTATTCATCAGCGCATGACGGCGCACCGGCACGCGGGGGCCCCCGCCGTCACTTATTAACCGAAGACGTTCGGGGCTAAAACGATTAATCAGTCGATGTTCCGGTCTCGACTGCCTTGTGGTGTCCATCACCGATAAGCTGAATGCCTCACGGGATGATGGAGGTGACTGGGGTCGTTCTTTTGTTAAGCAAAGTCATCGGGCCTCATTTATATGAATATGCGAAAGTACAGCGGTTTTGTTTATTAGAATAATGGTTTCCGAAACCGCATCGTCTCTTTGTCTCCGACACCCGGTTCAGATGTTTGAGTCATCATCGGAACGAGATGACTTCTGTTAAAAATAATAATTATATAAATGAAGCAGTCATTAGATAGTGTTTTAAGCAGATCTCATGTTTCAGATGTTACGGATTTAGTGGTTTACCACAGTGACATAAACGTCTCAACCTCATTTTGCTTTAAGGAAAACCTCATACATCCTGTTTTATTTTCCAACCTCGTTGAAACCACTAACACAGAGTTTTTACACCAGGGGTGTTTGAAGGGTTCCTGTGAGTCAGCACGCCTCTCAGGTGCAGCTGGACGAGAGAGAGACTTCACGTGTAGTGTTTTGCTGGTTTGTGTGTGTCGTCATTCATTGGCAGCCTGGTGTATTTCCATGCGTGTGAGGGATGAGGAGTGGACGTGTGCGTTTGCTGTGCTGTAGGGTGCCGTATTGATCCAATGTACTGTAGCCTACATATCGCCGTTGCCTCGCTGCTTTTTATTTTGTGGAATGGTTTTTAGTCTTTTTTTTGCTGTTATTTGTTAATGCATGTCATGTAACTGATTTGATGTTAAAACTGGAATTGGAATTGCGTGTGTTCAGGTACGACTGCTGGGCCCAACATTGCAGCGTGGTCCAAATTGCCAACGTCTCAACGTCATCTATGAAGCTTTCAAGGCCTTTTGGTGAGTGCCGCATGCACAAGGAGATAATACCCTTTTCTTCTATTCACACTGAACACATTCAACAGTCCTCCGGGTCTCTGTTAATTTGGTGTTTGGTTCAGTAAAACAGCACAAAAACCCAAAGACGGATCTAAATGGCACAACGTATGTCCTCCCTCAGTCTAATGTGCTTCTATTGTGGTGAAAACCAGCCCGAGCGGAACAATGCTGAATAGATGTGCAGTGTGTGTGATGGTTTCGGATACAGCTGACCAGGATTTGCGCAGTCAATTTCTCAGCTGCTCACACGTCTTCCTTAAAACAACGGCGTCCCCTGGTGTCAGCCTCTTTGGTTTGGACACCGGCAGGTTCAGCTGAAGTGAAAGCGGCCGACTTCCTCTTGATGAAATGTTTGCTGACTGTCGTCTGGCGCTGAGTCGGCGGCGGCTTATTGCCGACCAGACGCACTTAGTCACAAGCGTGCAGTCACATGAACGCACACACTCGTGAACTTAACTGCATTTGCAAAAAGATGTTGTGCAAACCGAGCACACGACAGATCGCTCCGTGTGCACACATTCGCAGAGGAAGGCTTTCGATCCTCTTTCCATACGAACATACACATACCTGAATGTTTTGCATGCAGAAGTGGATTATATTTCTCCACACAACCTGTGAATATTTGCTTCCTTTGTAATCTCAACTGAAAGAACAGGTCGGAACTGCATGTCCTGTCCATGCATTACTCCCACTGTGCTTCCTACCAGTCTCTGGGAAGAGCCACCCAACCAAACGCACACACAAACACACACTATATTTAGGATGGGGCGTGCTTGCGGTTTGCAACTGAAATAAAAACAAATCTGTGCAGGAGCTTTACATTGAAAAAATCGATGCTTTAATAGTGTAATAATAGGTAGTAATAATAATAATATTGTGAGCTAATAGTAATAATAGCTCACAAAATGCATTGATTTCCAAACTGACTTTGGCGTGTTACAAGAGTGCCGTTAAATACTGTGCCATGAGCCTACACCAGTATAGTCCCTGTGACTGCGGATCTGTTACTTCAATGGCCTCCACGCAGCAGGACGGAGCCTGAGAGTCTCAGTGGGAGCCGACGCAGCCGCCGGTTCCTTAAAACAAGAAGCCAGGCCTCTCTGCAGAGATTTCAGACTCTTACGATGCAACGTCCTCGTTACTCGAGTCCTCAACCGCTCTCTGCTGGCAGAAGGGTCGGCAAAGGCCTCGATGCCACACCGAACCTCCAAAATGAACATGATGGAAACATGATGTTATCAACTGATAACAAGCCAGACACAAAACCTTAAGATGTTTACTTGCCGTTTGGACTAAAAACAGCAGGAATACATTTAGTTTGAAGTGTTTCTACCTAACACTGTCCCTTTTTATGTTTGCCTTTCTCTCTCCATCAAAAACACACACACACACACACACACACACACACACACACACACTTACACACACAGCTGGCTTTGTATCCTGAGCCCCGATCCTGTGTGTAGATAACCCATTTCCCACTGCTGGGAAGTTTTTGTGCACGAACCTGAGAAAGAGAGAGGGGAAAGAAAATGTTTTGTATTTTTCCACCTCCGTTCAAAGAGCGAGTTTGTCTGTCAGTGAGTGTGTGCGTGCACGTGCGTGTGTTTGTTTGTCGTCTCACTTACTTCAGTGCCACCAATAGCCTGTCATATCTCCATCAGATCTTATACACACGGACACACACGTGTTTTGAAGACGCAGCATTCGACATTCCTACCCCCAGCACAGCCTTCCACGAGTCTGCTGGATTGTTTAGTTTCTAGGTGGGAAAAGGAAAAGGGACAAACCTTTTCACTCGGGCTGTTCGCTGTGCCAAGTTATTCCTCCCTGAACGTTCTGTGCCACAGCAGGCTAACGTCACTGGGTTAATAGACACGTGTGCGTGGTTGTTTCTTTGTGCGGACTAGTAGGAGCCCTTCCTGCATGACTGGTTGGTTTATCTGGTGTTGGAATGTTGTCAAAGTCAATATCAGGTGGCCGTACTGTATTTAGCCGGGGCTTTGAGTTGGAGGACATGCCGTCAGTGTCCAGAGACTTTGTCAATAACAAAAGACGTCTTCTAAGAATAGAGACCATCCACTTTGTTTGCTGCCTCTTCTGTCACCCGATCTTTTTGCACAATTTCTCATTTTTCTGTCCTTTTCTTTCTTTTGTTGTCTTCTTATTTGTATCTCGTGTCCAATTTTTTCAACTACTTTGAAATAGTCATTGAATTAGAATGAAGAAGCTGGTAATGAATCCCCATAAACGAGCTCCTGTGCTAAATTTAAACATTTACACTGGCGTCTTACATTTCCCCTGTCATGTAGTGCAAAATATACAGTCTGAGGTGTGACTCGACTCGACAGAGCCAACAACAGTGAGGAAATACAAAAAAGCAATGCAAGTATATATACCTAACTGTAATAAAGGAGTCACGATCCTCCCTGTCGAAGACTTGGACCAGCCGCCTGTTGTTGCTGCACAACTCACAATTTATTTTCGTATTGAACAACAAAAAACCCACCAAAAGCTACGGCACCAAGCAGCACCAACAAGCTGGCTTCGCCGCAGTACGCAGACACTTCAGCCTGTGGTTCATGTATGTAATACGTTTTAAGTTGTAAAACTTCTGCTCCTTGAGCCGATCCATCAGCTGTTCTAGTTTTCTTCCCTCAAAGGTTCCGTCAAAAGCCGTTTATTACTCTAAAGGAGAACTGAGAGTTGAAAATCATGTTGTGAAACTTGTCTCTTAAAGGCATTTGGTCATATTTCTATTCCCATCTTCTCTGACTTATCCTGACCTATTTGTTTTAGCTGTGCATCAGATTAGTTTAGTAGGTTCTTTGGATAATCATTTCAAAACTATGCATTATCTTTGTTCATGATTACTTATTGTTTATATGACCAACAATTGGCCCAACAAAATGTTTGTGCAAAGGGAAAAGAAGAGACTTCTTAAAATCTTGTTTTGTCTGAAAACCTAAAAATCCAGAGATATTTAGTTTAATATGCCACTTATCCTGGGAAACATTTGATCCTCTTTCATTCTGTTATGCAGTTGTGTTGTTTCATTTATGGGATGGAGTCCAGCCACAGGGACATTTTATTGCGGCCTCCTAGAGTTTGCACGCTCATAAAGCACTTCGGTGGAATCTTGTGATAATACGTGACAACAAGTCACTAGTGTTGACTTGCCATTACTTTTTTTTAATTGAAAACACCTTCATTACTTTTTCATGTTTCACCTTTGACTTTATTATAACCAAATCTACATTAGTGCCGTGTACCAATCCACATTCCTGACCTGCTCGGAAAGGAGCAACACGTGAGAAGAGGAGAGAAACAAAACACGAACAAGGGGAATAAATACACTTGTATCCGTTGTTCCATTGTAACAAGGAATTCTTTTATTACTGATGGGCGTGATGCAATTTTTAGCAGCTTGACAACATGCAGAACAAGATGTTCTTCTGTGATTAAAGCAGCGCCAACACTTTTGCAAATATTTCACCTCAAGGTTCATTTCATATATGTGCATATATATATATATATTGGTAGGTGTGTTAATAATATGTATCATGTAATCCTTACTGAGGGGCCAGTTTGTCTGCATGAACCTGTGTGTGTCTGTGTGTGGTTAAGCAGTTGATCAGTTGTCAGTTCGCCTTTAGCAGCATCAACCGAAGGTTGTGTGTGTGTGTGTGTGTGTGTGCTACAGAGGCGTGTGGCCGAGGATCAAACTTGTCTTGTGTGATCCTTTGTCAGTTCTGTTCTGCACCGTTATTGGGGCGATACGTTGCGCCTTACGACGTTTGTAACGCAATGTTTCAGAGCGATGTTTCTTGTTGTCTATTGTTACACTGTCTACTGTCACGCACCAACCGCCAAGACAAATTCCTTGTATGTTTGACATATTTTGGCAATAAATGATTCCTGATTCCTGTGTCATCCTGTATGTGATGTCGGCTCACACACAGAAAACAACAACCTCCGTCACTTCTGTGAAGGGAGGCACGCAGCTTGCGTGAATAGTGGCCCGAAGCCAAGGTATCGGGTACTAGAAAAGCTGACTAGATCGCTATGACAGGCGGCGCTCAGTCACGCTGATGGCTCCAAAGAAGAAGAAACACACCCGAAAATATCCAGATTTAGTGGATCAGTTAGTTTCGGCCTCGGGAGGCAACATACACATGTAAACTCACACACACACATATGCACAGTCCCTCTAAAAGGAGAGAGGCCCCTGGTGGCCTGACAGACAGGATGCACGTGGGGGGGAGGTGCAGTAATATGATGTTGGGTAGGGGGTACTGTAGTTAGAGGAGGCTCAGATGAGGTTTTGGGTTTGTCTCAGTCCTGTGTGTGTGTGGGTGTGGGGGGGGGGACTCGGCCAGTAATGGGACTCCGGTGTAGAAGTAGGCCATGGCTCCTGTCAGCAGCTTGTCAAAACTTCACCGTAATCAACTTCAGACATTTAGAGCAGCAGGCGTCCACACAGCGTTTTTACATAAGGAGTCTCCAACATGCGAGTTGGGGAATAGAAAAGGTTTGTGCATGTTATGTTAAAAAGATACCAGATTTACTAGTCACTAGCAACTACATTGACACCCGTCTAGATGGGCTGAGATGAGCGGGCAGGGGATTGAAATAATGGGGTGTGTGTGTTTGTGTTGGTGTGTGAGTGACCTCCACAGAGAAGGACGGTCTCCTGTTGCTTACAAACTAAAGCCGTTGTCCTGTTTTTCTCATTAGGCTCTGGTCCCCTTTGAGTGAGTGCGAGCTAACCTATTTGCCGGGGCTAGAAATAAACGCGGAGATGACGGCGCTATTTAGCGGCTGCAAAGCCAGATGACCTGACACAGGGACCAGAGACCTCCTCACCTCTGTTCCTGCCACAGAAAGCAGACCTGAGCCACATTCAGAAGGCTTCATCTGGTATTATAGACACACCCTGGTTGCTGTGGCCATTCAAAATT